TATATATATATATATATATATATATATCGATTTATCAAATAACCAATGTTCAACCACCAATTTAACCCTGAACAATTTCACCTTTAAGTCTAATATCCGGGTCAAGTTTCAAAGCCTTTCTCCATGTTGTGTTAAACTCTTTCCTAGAATCACCATATAATCATTGCAGAAAGATAAAATGTTGAAGTCATAAAATAGGCTGTAAAACAAAATGAATCTGTAAGAAAATGAGGGCCCAAGACAAACTTATTGAAATCGGAAAGTGTTATAAGTTACAGATAATTTAATTTAGTCAATTATAATAAAACAACATAAAGGCGAAATGAACGTCCAAAACAATTGATGGATTCCTCATATTAAGAAAGTAAATTTAACCAAATGCGTAAAAATTAACAAGTTTAAGGTGGTCGGAAATCCAACAGATTAGGAAAAAAATGTAATAGAAAAAAGTTAGCGGAAGATGAACTGTTTACAAGACCTATACCAATCAAATGAAAAGCAAATTATGAGGAACTTCTCTCTTTAAGAAATTTGAAGGAAAATGCATACTTTCTGCTGTGAATCAATTAAATGCCAAGAAAAACAGTTTAAAAATAGAGATAAACTCTGCATAAAATTCATTTAGTGCTTTTATTTCTAATTTAATAGGGATATTGCAATTTTTAATTACAAAACCATAAATTTGGGACAAGGAAGAACAAAAAGACTGATATTTAACAAGAAAATGCTTTTTAAAAACTTCACCGCTTTACAGCTTTGTAACAAAAATGCTTCCAGCTCCTTTAGCACGGCCAATGGGGCATCCTGTTGTTGAAAATGCAAGAAATTACCAAACAATTCCATGGGAGAGAAATCAAATACATAGTATTACAAGCGGGGCAGGAAAACATTATAGTTGTAGATAGAAATATTAAGATAGAAAATTATTTTTATAAAAACTATTAAATTGAATAATCAACAAATGCATACTGTTACATTCCATCTTTTTTATTATTTTGCTTAATAAAGCTTCAGTTTTATTTAAATGTGTAAAATTATGTTTCAATCTTCAAAGAATCATACCTTTTCTACATCTTATTTTTACATTTATTGAAAACATTTAGGAAAGTTAGAAGCTTCTATGACAAACCAAAATACTTTGCATCCAATGCAATTGTGGATTACACTTGATAAAAAGTCAGAGAGAAAAGAGAGGATAAGAGAAAAGAAATCATTTGATAATAAAATTTGGTAAAAGTTTTGTTAGATTATCTGAAGATTTAGGTGAAATCTTATATATAAGTTCCACTGGAAACATACACTAACCACAATGAACGGTTTCATGAAGATTTCTAGGCTTGGATGCTTCTGCCATGGTGATCATCCTTACTCTAAGTCGAATCCTTAGCTTGATGCTAACAGCATAAAAATTGACGTAATCTCTGATTGTCTCTAGACAAGGATGATTTTCCGTCACTAAGGAATACTCAAAGCTCATAATGTTTAGTCCCTATCCTATAACGTGTGATCTATGAATAACTAGAAATTATTATAATGGATGATCTATATTTGATTATTTCTACCATTAAGACATATACCGGCAAATGCATACATAGTTTTTTTATGCCTTGATTAATACATAATAAAACATTTGAATCATTCTCCAAGTCCTATACTACACTGATATATGCTATACGAGACCAAACGAGAGAATATTGCATAGTGCAATACATCACATGTCATGGTGCACTATAATGTTACAAAAATAAATTTTAATTATGAACCTCTTTAAAAAATACAAACAAATTTCATGGTGAAGTATAATGCGTTTGTATTAATTTTAAATTGCGGAACTCTTAGAGATAGACAAATAAAAAATGGCTAAATGGAAACTACATAAACTTTAATAAAATATTGTATTTTATTTACTTCAATATTATCAAAGCCATGGCTTTGATCAAGCTCACTCAATTACCCGATAAATGCTACGTTACATTGAGCGGAACACGAATGATCAGGCTCAAAGCCATCAAATAACTCATTTGAATGTCTTGAAAATTAGTAAAAGCTCCACCCAGGATGTCATCATATCCATCCAATAAAAATATATGATAGGAATCTAGAAATACTAAATTGATTGAACATTTTACTTCTTTAATTAGGAAAATAGACTCGAGGAATATTTGGATTTGTTTCACTAAGATATATTTTCAAACTTAATAGTTTTATTTTATTACTACTATTTTTTTCTATTTCTTCATTCACTTTTCATTATAATTATTAATCCTTATAGCTATTAAGATCATTATTAAATTGCTTTATGAAATAATCAATTCTCTCTCCTATCCCTCTCTCTTCTCCTCTTCCTTTTCTTCTGGTGGGATATCTAGTGATGTAAAAGCCTTCCTCTATCCATTCACTCTATCTCTTCATCAGATAAAGCATCATGTCCCATCACAGTAGAACAAGATATCTCTGCTCGCAATAATGTGAAGCATTTTGCCTCGCATTCAAATCCATCGCCCCACTATAATCCCCATCATCATAGTTGTTGCATTCTTAAGACATATAAGCAGCATAAGTGTCACTGTCATGACCCGGCTATTACATGTCACATTGCATCACATTCGCTTTTCAATAATACATAACTTGTAAAACCCACGAAAACTCTTACACGTTGTAGGTAAACATTATGCTCTTCATGCCTTTCAACAGCCCTCCAAACAGTTGCTCATTATTTTTCCCGTGTCTTAAGCCAACCACATAACTGCACCTTGATTAACGAGTTGCATCACCCCCAACAGCCGATCATTCCCAACGATATTCTAACCTCCACATTCAAACACAAGCACTACCCTACCCATGCCAAACCGTGCATTGCCTCTTGCCTCATGTCAATGAATGCAATTGACTTTTTATCTCTCCTTCCCGCACAATTCATCGTGTTTCTGCACTACGTCACATTTTTCTTCCTCTAAAACACAAAATGAGATGCCCCTTCATCATCCCACGCATATTAAACTTTGCAATCTATGTTCTTGTACCAATGACACGGGGTGCCAAAACACGCCAGTCGGCTGAACCGGCTTACAAACTCTCGTGCAGGTCCAATGGACCGGGCCCAGGCGGGATGATTCGCGCATCCTATAGAGGTTGCGGGACGACCACCCTTCCTTTGGTGCTCTTCTTCGCATAACTTTAATAGCTATTTTTCTGGATATTTCTTGCCTCCCCACCCCTTCCTTTTGTGTGAAAGTTACCTTATTTATTTATTTCCTTTTCTTATCCGAAGGGAGTCTATAAATTGTTGTTTTCTGATTGTAAGGTTCAGTTTTGGCTGTGTTTGCTTTCAGATTTTAGATGTGGAGATTTTTCCCTCTTATTAGGGTTGTATTCGATGAAAGGTGGTGCTCTTATCGTATCCAGCTCCAAGGTGATGTTGTATCCTTCCAATTTCTTCCCATCTTCTACCCGACCCCTTCTCCCACTCCTTCAGTAGCCACAGACCACCCCCATCTTCCTACAACAATTCTACCACCACCCATACTGCCACCGCAACCTGTTGCCCAGCCATTCAGTCCCCCCATTCCAGCACCTGTACCCCCTCTCCCTACAACCACCTAGGTTGCCCAGCGCTCCAAGCCATCTGCCTGCATCCCACCATCCCTTCTCTGTTGTAATCCTTGTTGTCCATCCCACCTACAACCCATCAAACACTGTTCCACCCGTCCTTACTCACCTTTCCTTGCCACCACGTCAACACCACAACCGCCTTCGAATCTCCTCCAGCCCTATCGGAAATTAGTCTATTATATGTACTAATAAAGTTTGTTTGTGCGTTGCCGCTAATTTCCTACCTAGTTCCAGCGTCATTTGGTATCAGAGCTAGCCCCAACCCTAGTCTTATCCTAGGTTTCCTAGCATCCTCCTGCACCTAATTCACCTCCATCAAATTTTTTTTCCTTCAATTCCTAACCCTAGTCATGACACCGCGTAGAGACACATTAGACTCGACTCAAAAAGAAATTCAACAAAAAAACTCGTCATCTGCAATGGAGATTAACAGAGCTGAATGATGAGAACTAGAACGAGATTACCTTCAACTATGATTTGGAGGGTCAAAGGGAAGACAAAGACGGGGATTTAAATTTATTCCACAGAGAAGATCACAGTGACAAGGAATATCGACCACGCCGTTTTGGAATCCCATATCAAAGGAGGTCTAGAGAAGAGGTCACTTATGGAGGTCAGCGGAACTTTGGCATCAAGATGGACCTCCCAAAATTTGGAGGTATGGACCCGATGAATTTATCAACTAGTTGCAATCAATTTAACGTATTTCAAGAATAAAGAAGTATCAAAGGACCAACGAGTCAAGCTACCTGCCATTAAACTAAGAAAAATGTCTCTATATGGTAGGAAAATCTACAAAGACAGAAAAAGAGAATGCAGTGAGAAGATAACTACGTGAGAGAAGATGAAGAAGGCAATGCAGAAGCCATCACAATATTACGAGTACATGTTCCTAAAACTCTATGAGTTACAGCAACGGGATCTCTCAATTGAGAAGTTCACAGCCCAGTTAGACCACTTGCAGCTGAAGTGCGAGCTAACAAAGCCAGAGGAGCATATCGTAGCCAGATACCTCGAGAGTCTGAAGCTTGCCATTAGAAATGGGGTATAGCTACAACCATACTAGACGTTGGGGGATGTCCAGACACTAGCCTTTAAGGTGGAGAAGCAGTAGAAGCAAAGCAGGCAACAGTCGTCCTTCAGACAACCATTTTCAACTGTCACATGAAGTGTTTACAACCGATAAGGATGCCTCGAGAGGAAATAACAAAAATCGGACAGAGAACTGAAAAAGCATATCAAAGTGGGAGGAAGCCAGAAAAAGGTAGCTCGTCCAATAAAGTGTAGGCCAGAAAGTGTTGCATGAGTCACTGCTATGGTCACATAGCCTCTAGCTGCCCAACAAGTCGGATTGTCACACCCACAGATCAGAGCATCCTCAAGGAGGTCGATGAGGAGTCAGATGATAGTCCAGAAGAAGAGTTTCAGCTCCACAGAGATGAGGGGAAAGCATTAGTCGTTCGGCGAGTATTGTCGTCTGAACTAAAATGGGACTAATTATGGTTAAGGCATAGTATATTTCGGACCAAGTGCACCATCAAGGGCAAGGTCTACAACCTGATAATCGACAATGGGAGTTGCAAGAATGTGGTGTGAGAGCTCATGGTGAGAAAGTTGGGACTGGACATGCAGCAGCATCTACACGATTAAAAAAGGTAAATGGGATACAGGTAGATAAGCAATGCCTAGTTGACTTCTCCATCGGAGACCAGTGACAGAAACAAGTATGGTGTGACATAATTCCTTTAGACGCGTGTCGCATTCTGTTGGATAAGCCTTGACATTGTGTTTGCAAAACTCAACACGAAAGTTTCAAGAACACTTATTCTTTCAGAAAAGATGGAAAATGTATCATTTTGCTACCAATTAAAGATACGAAAGGCAGGAGCAATACAGAGGCAACATTAGTTCCTTGGACTTTGCTGTAATCAGTTAGAGATGCCCCCATAACACTAGCATTAGTCCTCCTAGAATGAAGCGAGGAGGACAAGGAGGTAAAAGACTACTGCAACCAGTACTAAAAGACTATCTTAAATGTGTATTTTGCATTAATAAATCAAAAAGGTAAAAGAAAAAAACAATGCATGTATACATCTCTGATGTACAAAAGTGATCCTAATCATCTACAAGTACAGAAGAGAGTTCTTTATCTTCATCTACAAGCATCAAAACAAAAGAACTACTGAGAGCGT